GGCTAGTTGCGCCTAATTTTTTCCTCGACCAACGTTTAAAATTTAACCCCCGTCATTTCACCTAAATTCATTAAAAGACTAATGCCACATAATAAAATGCTGTTAAAGGAATTAAGCCTCAAACAGGAAGTTAATCAGAAAACCTGGTTTAAACATTTTTTGCCATGTATCTTATTTCCATCACGTCCAGTCAGCTTGACAAATTAGGTGGGCTGAGTGACCAATCAGATATCTGAGGCATTGCTGACTCACCAATCGTTCGGGGTTCTTTGTTCCCTTGGGAGCAATTAAGAATTATCTTCAAGTCTTTTATGAATTTCTGCGTGGGGGATTTGTTTGTCCTGGCACAAGACTGCATCTCACCAGTTTTCTACGTAGTTGTCATTGGTGACTCTAACTAGTGCGATTTATCATAACCTCATTTAACCACAAAGCAGAAAATGCCACTTCAGCATCACGGTGTTTTTACGTCCGGTAATGGGGTTTTGAGAAATCGGCGCATACTTGAGTGGCGTTGAGGAAGCGTTTAGATTACTCCATCGCCCTGTCAGCTGATTCGACCTGGATTCGTGGACCCAACCATCTTGGCAAATCGTAAAAGTGCTGCGCAAAATGTCCTCAGTCAGTACACGTTCCCTCACCACCTCAGTAATTTATCACTCCCACACAGGCATCAAAGCCGCTAATGAGATTCTACGCACTTCATCTTCTGCAAGTCCGTTGATAGAGTTTAATTGCGCTAGTGATCTCTCCCACCCGGAACACTGCTTCAATCAATCATTTGGACGACAGACAATGAATCCTCACGAGAAGCAAACCCCTTTAGCTTAAATAAAGTGCTTCTGAGATGCAGTTGAATGGACCAGGTAGAATGGCCGTCAGGACTTGAATGGGCGTTGAGATGGACTGGAAACACAGTCTATGAGTCATGCTCAAACGAGGGAATTGAGAAGGGGGGAAGGAAAGTATAAACAGAAACCAACAAAATTACATCTCAAAGCTACGCACATTTACTACAATTCACCAAAAATCTGTGCGAATCGATTATGGTAAAGTTGGGAGATAATGAAGCGTCGAAATGAATGATTCATGCAATGCACCAATGCCAAGATTAAAAACACCGCCTCCAAAGGCGTTAAAAAAACTTGCAAATTAAAAAAAAGTGGTCGTTTAATTTATTTACATCACCGTCTGCCGGGAGGAGTTAGTCTGGGTAAGCGTATCGTTCAATTTTTTTTTTGCTGCAGCGCTAAAAATCCATTGCGCATTAATCATTCATCGAAGCTCTGGTGAGTTAGACAGGGAACCATTTTGAAGCCAAACGCATGGATTTAACTGGCATTTGAAGTGGCGGATTCATTGGATGATAATATTGTCTAACTTCACCTCGTTGACCTTCCTATTTCCGCATCACCCCTTGTTTTACTGTATTGGTTTTGTTGGAACACTATTTAAAGTCGGAACTAGTTATAGACAACTGTATTTGTTATATACATTTACTCTTGTGCTACTTACAGTCTCATTATAATTTTTTTATGTATTCAGGCGATTTGTGTTCAGAAGGCCCAGAGGGTTTCCCATTGGTAAACGATGTGAAAACCAATGAAGTCGGTTTATTAATATTTGTAATTTGTCTCTCTTGCCAAATATGGGTTTTTTGGCAGTGTGCGGAAAAGGCTGGAAATCAATCAATAAGAAAAATCGATATCCGACTGAGTCGACGCTTCGTGCCATGTTGAACTTTTCCAAAATGACATGCACGCAATCAACGCGGTTAATTTAATCGGTTCATGCTGTCTCACGCGCTGATAATCAACAGTTTGGCCAAAAGGCTGAAATGAGGAGAGGCGAGAGAAAAATAAACTGAAATTGTTTTTTTCCTATTCCTTTTCTGCCCAAATCCCCTGAGGAGATGGGGGTCATGGCGACGGTTTGACGCCGACACGCGGTTGTTTACGGAGTGCTGAACTTCCTGCATAAATCATTCATTATGCGCCAGGGGTTCTACAACTTGTGTCTTTGATTTTATAAACTTCTCTATTTCCCAAAGAATATCATTTGTCTTTGCTAGAGAAAAACTGTCTTAGTGTGTAAACAAAGTATAAGACTCGACGACATACAGTCCACTTACGCAATAGTGGCGTGCGCAACGAGTTATCGTGACACCGATAAACCGTCACGCATGTGCTAATTGTTAAAGTATCGGATAAATTGGATTTATGGGATTCTGCAACCATTCTCGGACTGACTGGATGTTTACACTAGCGTCCCCAACCTACCATAGACAGGCATTCGATTGGTTATGCGCATTGTTTTTTTATTAAAATACAAAAGGCGGCTGGTTTGAGATCATGGAGTGAGTTTAGATGAACAACTTCCCAGTTATCATTACAAACAGGCGAAAATAGTCTATTTCCAAATCAATTATTTCAAGTAACAAAAATGTTTCACACCTTTGTTAAAATGGTGAACTTTTTGACTCCAATGACTTGCGGCGTCCGAAGAAGCTTGAATGCCTGTCACATTAATAATTAACTACAATCTTCAGCATGGACTGAAATGCCAATGTGAAATCAATGACATTAAAATTGGATGAAAAATTCATATTTGGACGTCAGTGTTGCAGAATTATGCTCAAAAGACGCACTGTTTTAATAAATCGATTAGTTGAATACTTTTTGTTTAACTTGTAATTCGTCAGTGCACACAGTTTTGCATAAATTTATCGACGAGCAACTTGATCTCACAATAAATCAGCTACTGACTCAAGTAATGGATTGTTGGTGAAGAAGTGTGCAAACCACGATGACCAATAGGAAAAAAACTAAAATGGTTGTTTGATTGGGTAACTCAAAAACAATCATTTTTTGAGCGCGCTTTTTCTAATGACACTAAAATCCACAGGGCTCCATTTAGGCCCAGCAATAATGTGCCATCAAACATTCACCATATAATTACGGTAGACAATAAAGATATGGTAGAACACAACACCAAAGTCGATTTTTTTTACCATTATAAACTTTACGACCCCCTAGAGATTAAAAAATGAGCTTAAGAGAGTACGAACAAAAAGAGAACGATAGTGGCGGCGGTGATGATTAAAAGAAGAACATAGTGGCATTTGTTTAACAATAATCCTTATCCAAGCATCTTTAAGCCAAAAATTGTAATAACGTGTTTGCAAATGAAAGCATCTCCCCCCCCTCGATATTCAGATGGTGGCTGCGACTTTTGCTAATCAAACAAATTTGAATTTTGCCGGGCCTGCAGAATTTATACCAAGTCAAATTTAAATAAAGCTGACTAATTGGCTCGTCATGTCTGACGAATGCAAAACGGGCAAATTTGCAAAATTCTAAGAGCAGACTAATTGAAATAAGATGGAGGGGACAAGGGAATTGCTAGTGGTGTGCAAAGATCGATCACAGTTTACAAAAAAGTTGATATTACAGAAAAAATTTTGCATTATAAATGCAGAATTCTCCAAAATGGCATCCAGTCTGGCCATTTAAGATTCTTTTTATGTAGTGTAACATAAATAATTACCTAAAAGGACCTAAAACACTACGGTGGTATCAGATCGCATACAAATGTAGGACATTATCGACTAAATTATGACATAACATGGTGCGTTACCATGGTACATTTTTAGACACATGTCGAACATAATTTTTAAGAATTGCCGACTGTGCAGAGTTAGAAAACAGGTAATCTAAAAGCTCTGAACTAAAATTTATTAACATATTAGGATTCGAAATAGTTTGGATTCTTGAAATAATAAATGCTTGCTAGCGTAAATTATTATGCGCAAAAAAAATTAACATGACGTTAAATATGCAAAATGGGTATTACACGACCTATACGTGCTTCGAGTCTTGTATAAATGGATTGAGAAAAGCCAAATACATAAGAAAATAAATGAAAAAGGTGAAATCAGCAATAACTATGTAAAAATGTGGTGCCGGGTTTAAATATTTGTGAACAGTCTATTCTGAGTATTTGGAACAAAAGTTTTACTTTTATGAAGCATTTGCATGGCTTTAAAAGCAAGTTTGACGTTTTAGTCACCATTTTAAGCATCATGGATTACGGTCACCGTTCATAACTAAATACTTCACTTTTAATAAAGTCCTAAAACTCGGTTTTAACTGCATTTCAATAATAACAAACGTCCGTAAAACATTTATTTTCGCAGTCTTATGACTATTATTTGTGTGCATAATGCCTTATCAAAGTGGAATCAGACATGAAATCTATTGAAACTTTAAGGCTACTAAGAGAACTGGCGCAATTATAATCTCTTGGTGTAACAAATGAAAATCGTAGTAATTCTTCGTCTCATATGCTGATTTATTAAATAAAATTTATTGAATTTATTATGAGATTTTCTTGGAAGGATTTTCATTTCAGCTAGTCCGATCACTGAGGTTTTACTTTCGTTTTCTTAAAATGGGGTTGTTTTTCTTGGTTTACTATGCTGAAATCAAGACTACCAACTGAAGTCCCATTTTTTACTAAATAGGTAAATTCAAATTGCGTTTGCAAATAATTTACTGCATTAATACCACGAACAGAATATCACTGCTGAAAAACGTGCAGTCCTGTCCTCTTGGTCGCCATGTTTCGTTTTGCGAAACCCAGAAGTTTTCGCCATGCCCGCTTTTGAAGTTACAATTATAAGTTATCGTTGATGGAGTGCATTCAGTGCGTTAAAATTAAGCGGTTCTATCTCTTTCTCTTCTTAATGCTCAACTGGAAATCATGGAGAATGTGTCATCAAAATAACCAACTTCGTATATCCTACCTTATGTAAGGTATAGGTATTGTAACTGAAAGTTTACCCTTAAACTAAACGTCCTTGCAGTACTCTGAAATTATGTACGAGTGGCCGACAATTAAAGCTTGATATAGGTGCGATTTGGCCCTAATTCATTTTCATCTTCTCGCCTGGTTTTCATTTACGTTTATGCTTATATTTTTTTAAAATGTTAAGGAACCCAATGTCATCTATTATAAGAGAATCGAATGAAGAATTTGAGGACCAGTTTCGTCTTCAGCAAGAAGCTGCTAAGAGGCAAAAGTTAGCTGAAGATCAAAGTAAAAAAACTCGTGTTGACGACGATGGCACAGTGATGGAATGGGACGAAAATAAACGAGCATGGTTTCCGAAGGTCTGTTTAATTTGTGAGGTTTATCTGTCTTATTAGATTGACGATGATTTCATCGCGTCATATCAAATGAGCTTTGGTGTCCAACAAGAAAGCGAGCAGGATTCTGCCCATACAGCCTGGCGCAACTTTGCTGCCCAAATCGAACGACTCAAAGCTGAGAAGGGAGAGGAAGATGAAGAGGTCAAGAAGGGCCAGGCCTCGCTAGATGAATATTATCGGTCCCCGGCCTACCGAGTTTGGTATGATGATTACCAAAAACGCTTGGAGGAACACAAGCGCGTGGAACAGCCACCTGCTGCAAGGAAGAAAAATGCTCAACCCGTGGAGGTGTCAGCCGATGAAGCACTGGAACGCGCTGAAGAGGAACAGAGAATGGGTGTGCCGATCTCCAAACCGGAGGAACCTGGCGAGCCAACTGAGGGGGGACAAGAGAAACCCGCTGAGAATCCATGTAAAAAGAGGAAGAAGAAAGGCCCGCCTGAGTGGTATGAGGTAAAGTAGTGTTGCTGTTTATCTCCTCATTCCTTTACTGCTAAATACCAGTTAAATGCTTGCCTTCTCTCTCTCTAGATAACAGATGACAAGAACACTCACGTTTACGTCTCCGGTCTTCCCCCGACCATCACAGAGGCCGAATTTACAGAACTCATGTCCAAATGCGGAATAATTATGAATGATCCGTTGACAGATCGGATGCGGATCAAGCTCTACAGAGACGAGAAGGGGAAGCCAAAAGGCGATGGCAGGTGTTGCTACATAAAGGTGCGAGGTTTGTTTGAGTTGCCGATAAGTCGTGTGCCGAGTGGTCAAGCATGTAAACTGCCTCGTTCCAGATTGAATCAGTCGACCTGGCGTTGCAGATTTTGGATGGACTGCATTACGAGCCTGGCTACGTGCTGCACGTGGAGCGCGCGAAGTTTCAACCAAAGAAGGACTTTGACTACACCAAGCACCGCCGACTAACGGCGAAGGAGAAGAAAAAGTTCAAACAAAAGCAGGAAAAGTGAGTTTTGCGTGGGCTGTCATGTTTGCTTACTTTTCCCACCCTGCGTACACTTCCCTACCGTTTTTTCCCCGTTGATTTAGCCTCTTCAAGTGGAAGCCGGACTCAAACAAGCTCATTCGTGGCAAGAAAGAGCGCGTTATTATCCTCCGCAGTGTGTTCGATGAAGCTGATCTGGGCGTATGTGGATATTCGCTGGTGGTTGTGGGCGGATTCACTTGTCGGGACTCATGTTTTCTTCTTCTCTTCAGCTCGATGTCAGCCTCATTCCAGAGATCAGAGAGCGCGTGCGAACACAATGCGCCAAGGTTGGAGTCGTGAAAAAGATCGTTGTCTACGACGTGAGTTGCCTTCCATTGCCTTTGATCTGTAACATATCCACAGTTTTTTTTTCAACCACTGCGCTAGCCAACTAATCGGGGTCCATCTTTGAGATGTTGAAGGTAGTTGCGTCATGGCGGAGTTGATGGCTGCTTCAAATTTTTTTAGGCGCTCGTCCACTGACCTTAACACGGACGTCGTTTGGACGACGACGACGACATTTCACATGCCCACTCACGAACCAGCTTATTTTCCACTTTCAACAGACCAATCCCGAGGGCGTCGTCTCAGTGACCTTCAGCACACCGGAGGAGGCCGACGTGGCCTTGACCTTCCTTGATAAGGCTCTTTTCACTTACCCTGCCCCCTGTACAGACCCCCAGGGGGGTCAGCGAACGCGTCAGCTAGATGTCTCTCGGTGGGATGGTAAGGAGCGTTTCGATAAGCAGGAGAACGTCGAGGAGGAGAAGGAGAGACTGGATCGGTGGAATAAATTCCTCGGCGACGACTCCGATTCCGACACTGCGGAAGCCCATGCCGAGGCCGTCGCACCAACTGACACCGACGACGAGCTGGAAGCACGTGGTGGTGAGGAGGATTCTGGTGCTGAAACGGAGTAGGAGGGGACGTTTATCGCCCCCCCCCACTTCCCCCCTCCCGCTCTTGTCTTGTATAAATTGCTGATTAAGAGTTTTCGAGTCTACCTGTGCCATCAGTGGCGATATTGCATTAAGGTATTACGTGAATTTGACTAAAATCTACAATGGTTAAGAAGACGGGTTAGCTCACTTTTGCGAATGCTAGGCAACAAGCTAAACTGTCTGTTGCCAAGCTAACAACTGAAATGGTGCTGAGGTGTGAAGATGAATGCAGTTTTTTGGTCAGCGAGTCGTTGAGATGTTGCCTCAGTTGACCGCTCTGCTGATTAAAGATCAGGTGAGGCATAAACGTCACAAAGTAGGCGTTTGTGGCAATTAAGCAGAAGCTTTTCAGAGCCTGTAGTTCTGTGTAAATCCTGTAGCGGACCTAGCGCGTTTCAAATCACCTCAGATCCCCAGATATCTCAGGTACTGTGACTGGTGGGACTATCCAGGCAGCACACGTGCTCTGAAATCGGTCTTGCCTGTTCCGCGTTGATCACGTTGTCGGCGGAACTTCTGTCACGGGTGCCTGGTCCGCTGTGATTACCTCTGGAACCAGCCAAGTTTGTGTAGGATCCAAACGAATCGATTAAATCAGCCGCGAGTCGGGAATACTGAGGAATGTTGGCGTTAGAGATCTTGTGTTTATCGATTTCAGCCAAGTGAACAGACCAAGAGAGGTTATCTGCACTATTAGTTGGTTTGTTGAACGGTAATGGTTAAAAAGTTCTCAAGGGAACGGTGGCTCAAATGAGTCCCAGGATGGCGCTAGTTCGGGAAGATGTTACCTTAGCGACGATCATGAGAATACGCGGAGGATTTGGTGGCGTCATCCTGATGTGAAAACGTAGTTCATTGCTTTAAATGGTGTCTGGGGGTAAAAGTCGAGTGTGTGGGTCAATGATTGTGTGGATTTGAGATGTTCAACAGGGATTTCGAACTGCTAACATTTCTTTTACCCTTCCACCAGCATACTTGCGTCCATTTCCCAGTGTGTTGAACTGAAGAGTTGCCACATACTTGCTTAGGTAGAGTTGGTGGATCAGCGGTGGGTAAAGACTGCGGAGTCGTGGTCACAATCAATAAATGTTGGGCTTCCTAACAAATGCTACATTTCAAGGGTTGCAAGTGTTTTTGACGCCATCGACGCGGACAAAGGTATAAGGCGAGGCGAACGAGTTTGGCATGGTGTCAGAAATTGTGACCATTTCACAAGGCAGGCGTAGAGTTTTACAAAATACGAGTTCTGCTGGCCAATTAAACTCAACTGTAATACATAGAAGTAATTAGTAGGTACGACCGTTGAAATAACCTCTAATTTCAGTTTCAATGTTGGAAAAAACAAGATGAATATTGTGTACCACGATTAGAAGTAATGGAGTTGGTAACCTTTGATGACGATACCCATGATTCTGCTGTGAATGGTGTTTATTCACACCCCTTAATTCGGTCGCTCAATCTCCGACGCAGGGTTCGCCATTTCGCAGCTTGTCAACAGCCGCGCGGATCCTTAACTCCCCCCTCATTCACACGGATAGTTACCGTGGGTTATCCTCACACCTAGGTCTCGATGTCAGCACATGTATGACTCGCACAGCCGAAGTGTGAATACACACGCGCAAACCCCACACACGACACCCACGTGGTTGAGATCTGAAGCAAGCGGTTGTGTCCAAGTCCTTTCCAATTTTTTTCTTCATCGCGGATATCAGGGTAACGTAATCGGGCCAGGGTTAATTCCGTGGCCACGGCGTGGTTCAAGGCCACATGCTGGGACCCCACAACAATTCCATAAATGTGCCAGCAACATTGTCGGTTTCACCGTCACTAATTGGTACCGCTATCGGCCAACGAGCACAACTGTCCGAAAAAGTAGACACATATGTAAACTCATGGTATGGCGGAAAAGGTCCAGCAGGGCGTGAACGCACCTCTAGAAGTGGAAAATATTCTGGTTGTAAGGTATTGTGCCTGTGGGCTTTTCTGTGCAGATATTAAATGCAAATTTTAGCCTATGCAGACAATTTTGGCAAACCCTAGGCTATAAGCGGTCTGTTATCAAGCGCAAAGGATTGCAGAATGTAAAATTGAGTAAAGACATTAAAATTTTTCTGTCTAAATTGGTCAGAAACATTAGGTCAAGGTCTGTCAATGAACACATTTCACATAATTACCACGTAACATTATGGGGATGGCAGTTTTTTCAGCTAGGGACTAGAATTTAGACGAAACTGAAGTTATTTTGTACTTTTCGTCTGCGTTCGAGGTCAAAATCACGAAATAAGTTCTGGGGATGGCTCATCGCCCAATACGTTGTCAATCCCATCAATTTTACAATTTTGTCTGGTTGTGAACTGTAAAATACCGTCAAGATACCTGGGTTCAATTTGGGTTTTAACCTGAAAGAGGCTGCATGAAATGCATGAATCGAGGGCTTGTGGTGAGCAAAAGTGGCGAACTCGCGTCCTTCCAGTGTGACGGGAGTGTTTCAAAACAAGTTGGTTTGCTACGATTTCTCCAGAAGGTGACTGGAAATTAAGGTGGTACTTAAGTGTACGATCACACTTAATGGACACACACCATCACTTATCATTATACATAAGCACATGGATCCCTTTGCAAATATCTGCAAAATTCTTCAAGACTTCTTCGAACAGCTTTGCTGATTGCATGCTGTCAGCAAAAAACATTTAATTTGTAACCAACCTTGAGGACTTTAGTAATAGGAATAATAAAAAGCCTACCCGCACTTGTTTTTCTCCTGCGTTTGTTTGCAAGACTTCACCTAAATTGCTAAGCCCTATTGCATCACAAAACGTTCCGGTGTACCAAAAGGAAAATAACGACATATGTTGCCACAAAATGCATTCTGAAAGATAAAAAAGACTCCACATTCAGTAAAAGTATTTTATTGAATTTTAAATATGCGAACAGAGAATTAAAAGCTGCGTACTGTGGATATTATTACCTTCCCTGTGGTATAGAAGGCATTAGAATTTAATCTATGCGTATTTTAAAGATAATTTATGCTAACCATAATGACATTTAAAATAGCAAAATGGTTGGCAAACTAGAAAGCATTAATGTGGACAAAAATGCATTCGATGGGAAATTTTATGCGTGGGTAAACACGCAACCTGCCTTAATATTGAAGCCATTTTGTTTGGAGCAGCAAAAATGTACTCAAAGGCGAGATTATGACAGACGACAAATTAAAAAAAAGATTGATAACCACCAAATCTACGTCTATGCAACTAAAAAAGAAGCAATATTCAGGTTTCAATGGAGACATAACACACGATATTTGTAAACAAATTAGCAAGGATTTGAAAACAACAACAAAGCTTTTTTTACCAGGCGAGTTTATTGTAATATACAGCTAAAATAGTTTATTCATTAGACACTTATTTGCATAAAATTGCTCAACATTAATGAATTCACTTGAATTCGTGTCCCAGAAATTTTTGTTAGAATCAATTTTCGTAATCACTGCCATATATAAATTTGTGCAGTTTAGAAATGGCAGTAAATATGCCTAGGAACCCAAACGAGGATTCACCAATTCTTTTTGTAGATTTTAATCAAGATTTCACGTAAGTCTCTTTTCATTAAATGTACAGAGCCGGTTTTAACCTTTCTATTTTCAAGTAAAAATAAAATTTCTCACCTTTTAATTTTAGTTTCTGTATACAGTATGCCAACATATATGCTAGGTGCTAAATAGTTTTAAGTATTTGGCCTTGTAATAATGTTGATTACTTAAA